TTACCTGCAGTCGATCCATACCGTTGAATGGGAACAAAGATATCACATCATTAGTTTAGCACACAATTTCAAAAGTAAACTTTATTATACTGAAACCGGCTGCCTTCAAATAGAGATTTTAATTCAATAAAATCAGTAAAATACTAATTATCGTGATCATTTCGCTGGCACATTGCAAGTTCCTTCATCATATAGCATGCATGCATGGTCGCACTTGTATGACCATTGTCCACATTGCGTAATTCGATTATGTTTGAGTCTACCTGTAGCAAGAATGGTGTGACCGCAACTGTGTAATAATCGCAGGACACAGTGGGTGTTAATTTATACGGGTTAATTAGATAGTTCCTGTTTAGTGTTCAGACTCGAACTATATGGCCAGTGGCTATTGTTATTATAACATCAACACAGTCTCTGTTTCTGACAGGTGACACTACTTGAGGTCAAAAAAATAATGTCCCATGTCTACCGCATGATAGTTTATACTGCAGGCAGCTCAGATGCGAGGGGAAAAAAGAAGTTAGCATCCGGGAATCCACAAATATGGCGAATCTAGCCTTGGTTGATTCCCAAAAATCATCTCACATTCTGTACTAGACTTTCATCGTCCCTCAACGGGCTTGTTGTACACTTTTAGTGCCAACATTTTGGTCTTGCAAGGAGCGAACAGATCCATTTTGTCTTCTCTCTTATTATGGACACTGAGTGCATACTTGCACCATTATGTCGTTACCACTTATGTAGTATGGATTATGGTTTATTGAGATCCAATGGTTCTGAATTAACAGGCCATAAAGAGCCGTTTTTGGAAAGTTTTGCACATTCGTGCACAACACTAATATCTTCCCTCCAATTTTGCTGTATGCTGTCCCTACGCTCCCGACGCTCAAAACAACACCACGGGGTGCCATGTCGCCGGCCATGACATCCAGTTAAGGAACATCATCCGCCAATATAAAACAATCCAACTCATAAATGGGTATGACAGTTGACAAGGAAACACCTGTTTCTAGTCACATGACATCGGGAATCGGGTTTAACGCGCTGCTGAATTCCCAATCCACCCACACGCATGACGAATGGGGTGCAGGAAAAAGGGAAACTCGTCAGAGACTGACACACGATAGGATACCCTGCATGTGAGACTGCATGACGCCTCCAAGTTCAACAGTAAATCGAAATAATGTTCAGTCTATCCATATAATTTTTTCCACGTCAGTTTTATTCAAGGATTGACTGCTCCAGCCATGGCTCATTGGCTTATACATTTAGAATGCCCTCGCAACAACATGTATATGATTTATTCTAAAAATTCAATTCAAACCTCAACGCACTATCCGAGATGCTTAATTCCTGAGACTATTTGACGGTAACTCGATACATCATCATCTGATAGCTTCAAGTTGACTTCTTGCATGTCATCTTCGGAGAGAAATACTCTTGCATAACTTTCGGCATAACACGTTTCGGGTCAGGGTCGTGCACAATATGCACATGATTGTGCTTAAATCAAAGATGACGTGATTTCACCTGCAAATTTGGGTAAGAATCCCTGCAGAATGGAGACGAAATCAAAGAAGTCAGATTATCGTCATTCGGAGAATTTCTTGTCGATATTTTACAAACTGTTTGGATGGTCCCCGGTGTAGCGCCATCTGTTTTTCTTCTTTTCTTGACTGTCGTAGGTTTTTGCAGTGGTGCGTAATTTTTCCTAGTGCTAGCCGGGTGGATATGACGCTGAGGAAACACGGGGGCTGAGTTAGCTTGGAGGGCCGGAAGACATGTGCTTCCTCAGAGCCAGATAACTTGAGGTTGAAAAAAGCACGTGTTTAAGAAAAAAAAAGAATGTAGATCAGCATTTTTCCTTCCCACTTATTTAAGTACACACAATATCATTAATGAAACAGTCCTTTTAATCCTTACCACAACAGTTTGAAAAAAAGTCTTCTTGGAAAAAAAAGTACTATTACCGCGCTCTCTGCAGAAAATGTTCCATCGTGTTGTGAAGAGCTTGCATAATAATTCCCCCTTCGCCGTAAAAAAAAAATCATGCCTTTTGTCGCTGTAATACCCTTCTCGGTCTTCCATTTTGATTTTCCAATTCCATCAATGACACTCCATTCCTCAATCGATATGGAAACCTTAAAAAGTGAAAATGCCTCTGGTTGGAATTGACCTTTAACCCTTGAACCACTTGACTCTAGCATACCTATACTGTCTCAAGGGTGTAACCGATCCAAGTACGATTTTCAGCTCTCTGAGCAAGACTTTCCAATCCAGAACAACGGACCGATTCATTTTAACCACATTCATCTGATTTTGGTTTCACTTTGTATTATATTTAGGATTTCCCAATAAAAATAAACCTAAACTTTGCCCCATAAAAGTGAAATTCATGTGTTGCAAAAAGACCAGCAATGCAGCCCTGCTGAACGAGTTCGGATCATTTGCCATGGACGTTTGCTAAAGTTTGCTATGGCTGAGTGATGCTGCGTGAAGCCTAACCGCATCTATAAGTTCAAAGTTCTAGATACATGTAGAAGCACTTTCAAAATATTTAGCAGTACCAATTCTGACGAAAAGGTTGTTCATAATTCACGACAGAACCCGTATTTTGCATTCAATTATATAAGAAATTCTTCAACTCGACCGATGGGTTCTCAGTGGTTTTCATTTACATGTAGTGTACTCTAATTATATCAACCCGGCCATAATATACGGAGAAAGCAGTCAACTAGATAATCATTAAGTACCAATAATCATTGACAAACATCAGTTAATTAATTAGCCAGCTTTCGTGAGAACACGAAGAAATCAACACCTGCTTGTATGACATAATACGCGGATATCTGTCCGGCACTGGGACGTTAAAACAATAATCTGAAAATTATGCTAATAATCATTGGTCAAAGTTTGAGTTAAAGTTAAAGTAAGGGAAGCAAGTGGCAACAAGTTGTTTCAACTTCAAGGTGAGATTGGGGAGGGGCCGCGAAGGGGGAGGGGGTTTGATGGATAACCGCCACCCCCCTTGACGGTGTGATCTGGGTGATTTCAAGTAGGTCCCCGTGAGTGTGACATGCATAATTTCCAAATAAACGCAGAGCCCCTTTAAAATGCGATGCAGATCCCTGCCAGTGCAAACTATCATGCTATTGCGAAACTAAAACTAGACCGAGTGTAAACACTGCACAGCGTCCATGAAGATATTCGTTGTACATACATGTACGGTGGTTCCCAGTATGGCAAAACAGTGTGCCAATGCGGAAGTACATGAAATATCAGTCAACCGTTTTTCAACCTCAAAAAACCGAAGACTTGGGCGCACAATAACCTCCAAAACTACTGTGAAAAAAGCACTATACACCGTTCAGAAATTGCATAGGTCATAAATTTCCCAGCTTAAGTTGTTCCATCTGATTAATAAAGTGAAGTGGACCTGGGTAACAGTTGTTGAAATTGTGCTCACTGTGTGCACGAGTTTTCAGGGGCCTTCTGTACAATTTGAATAAGAGGTATTTAGCGCAATCAAGTTGTTCAGAACAGGTTGGAATCCAGATCGGACAATCTCCGGAACTAAAAACTGCAGTTGAAGATACCATCTGTAAGACAGTTTCGGGGTAGGCGGGGTATATTGAGGCCTGAACAACAAGCCTGGTTACACACACTGTTGAGGTAGTCAAAGAAGATTCGTGTTGCTCTTTGACCTCCTCATGCATCAACAACTTCTCAATACAAAAATCCACACCACGGTGCTGCACGTAGCTAGCAGTTACATGCGAGTTCATTATTCACACATGGAAACATCAAATCTTAAATTCATTTGATAATAGAGCTGTGAACAAAAATTAATGTGGCAACAAGCGGCAGCAGTAATGGTTATTCATTTTCGCTATCACAACAGCGCGGCCATGTTTAATTGATTTTGTAGTGAATATTTTCAAGAGAGGAATTAAAGTAACCATGGGGGGGGGGGGCTAATTAAAAGGAAGGGCCTATGGTCTTCTTCAAAGTTTTGTTGGGAAGTCGGCATACATATACTCGTTCACAATTAAAGACACTTCAATCCTTTTTCTTCCTTTTTTTTCTTAGCGAATTTAACAGTTTTTTTTATCTCATACTCAACACAATATGCTTAACACACAAATACATATGTACGTTACAAATACAAACGACTGAGATGAATTTCATTGAACAGCCAAGCAAACTGGTGTCCACTGCACTGGGGCCCAAAAAATAACAAGTGCATGCAGAGAAAACACTTTCAGAAAAAGTAGTCATTTTGACCTCGTTATATGTTTGA